GGTTGGGGGGAGGGTGGGGGTTACTTTTTGGAGTGCTGGGGAACTTTTTCCCCTTTTTGAGGCCAGGGGGAAGGGGATGCCCAATCCAGAGAGACATGGGGGCAAGAAGGACGGGAGTGGAGGAGCTTCTGGAACTTTGCAGCCGTCATCAGGAGGTGGCAGCTCCAACAGCAGAGAGCGTCACCGCTTGGTGTCGAAGCACAAACGGCACAAGTCCAAGCACTCCAAAGACATGGGGTTGGTGACCCCCGAAGCAGCACCTTTGGGTACAATTATCAAACCTTTGGTGGAGTATGATGACATCAGCTCTGATTCAGATACCTTCTCTGACGACATGGCCTTCAAATTAGACAGGAGGGAGAATGATGAACGTCGTGGAACTGATCGGAGTGACCGCCTGCACAAACATCGTCACCACCAGCACAGACGTTCCCGGGACTTACTAAAAAGTAAACAGACGGAAAAAGAAAAAAACCAGGAAGTTTCCAGCAAGTCGGGATCGATGAAGGACCGGATATCAGGAAGCTCAAAGCGGTCGAATGAGGAGAATGATGACTATGGGAAGGCACAGATCTCCAAAAGCGGCAGCAACAAGGAATCCAGGTCATCCAAACTACACAAGGAAAAGGCTCGGAAAGAACGTGAGTTGAAGTCTGGGCACAAAGACCGGAGTAAAAGTCATCGGAAAAGGGAAACACCCAAAAGCTACAAAACAGTGGACAGCCCCAAACGGAGATCCAGGAGTCCCCACAGGAAATGGTCTGACAGCCCCAAGCAAGATGATAGCCCCTCGGGAGCTTCTTATGGCCAAGATTATGACCTTAGTCCCCCAAGATCTCACACCTCCAGCAATTATGACTCCTACAAGAAGAGTCCTGGAAGTACCTCAAGAAGGCAGTCAATTAGCCCACCTTACAAGGAGCCTTCAGCCTACCAGTCCAGCACCCGGTCACCCAGTCCCTACAGCAGACGACAGAGGTCTGTGAGTCCCTATAGCCGGAGACGTTCTTCCAGCTATGAAAGGAGTGGCTCTTACAGTGGGAGATCACCGAGTCCCTATGGTCGAAGGCGATCCAGCAGCCCTTTCACCAGCAAACGGTCTCTGAGTCGGAGTCCACTCCCCAGGTGAGCTATTTGTCTAACAGTCCTTTCTTTCTTAGGGTGGGTTATGAGGAACTGGCAGTTAGTAATGTTTTGTTGAAGTTCCCATTGTTCATTGACTAGAACCCTTTACTATTGGCTAATCATTCAAGTGAGTGACTGGTCTCCTCTTAACCCAGAATTTGAAAAGTGGAGAGTTAAACTGCTAAAGGTAGGTACTTCCAGTGACAGGATCTTCAGCTGTAAGCTGAAGAAAAATCATGCATAGAGTTGATACTGGTTTCCAAAACTTATCTAGCTATTTCTGTTGCTTTGTTTAAAAATTTTTAAAAACCGCTTGGTATTAGTGCTTGAGGCCTCATTGAACCTGATTAGAGATGTAAGAAATTAGTTTTCATTTGAATTATCTTAAGGCTATTTGCCTAGGTCATCTACCATTTGTTCTGCCCACTGAGTGTTCAAACTTGTTAAATTCACTTATTTCCTAATTGACAATGTTTTAGTGTCTTACAGAAGACTCCTGTCTTTTCACAGATATTTCTAGTGGAAATTCAGCTGATTCATGCCTTTTCCCTTTGATGGTAGAGCCTAGCAGAAATTGGTTCCAGTGATAATTTGATTTTCTTTACAGCACCACCATTGACCTACCCTGTGACCACTGACAATTTTCAAAATCTTTCTCTAAAAAAAATGGTAATAGTGCCTTTACTGTGTTATTTTTGCAAGAAAGGCATGTTAGTTTGAAATTTAATTGTTGGAGTGAATTATCTACTGGAAACTGTTTTTCTTTGTAGGATGTACCTCCCTTTTTGTGGACTCACCTTTGTCCACAAGAGCAGAACATGGGCTTTGGAGTTATACCTGAATGGAGTCCTAATCTTGCTTTGTGTCCTTAGGCAAATAATTTTTCCACGCCTAGGTTTTTTTTATGTGTAAAATGGGAGTAATAACTACCAATTTCTAGAGTGGTGAGGATTAAGTTAGTAAATATGAAGTGCATAATACAGTGACTGGTACCTGAAGCCAATCAGTAACTTCTATAAGTAAGGAAAATGTTGAATACTACTAGTGAAATTATTCTAATTTGAAAAAACGCATGCATATCTTTAAATGTCAATGCGAGTAATTTTTGTTGATTTAAAGTTATAATTACTTATAAACTAGTTTGAATTGATCAAGCTTCTGAGTTCCTAGTTGTCAGGGTCTGAAATTCCTTAGTCTTTTCTTCCATTTTATTGTAATTTTCAAACACAGAAAAGTCCATACATGTACCACCTACATTCTACAATTAATATTTGCTATATATTTTATACGTATCCATCAATTCATCATTCGCTTTATTATTATTTTTTAACCCATTGCTTTTCAGAGAGAGTGGAAGGGGAAGAGAGAGAGAGAGAGAGATTGAGAATAAGAAAGAAAACATTGATGTGAGAGAGACACACCAATTGGTTGCCTCTTGCACTTACCCCGACTGGGACAGGGATCAAGCCTACAGCGGAGGTAGGAATCGAACTTGGAACCCCGTCAGTCCTCTCGCTGATGCTAACCACTGAACAAAACCAGTTAGGACCATCTTTTGTTTTGATTTATCTCAAAGTTGCTGACATCAGCATACTTCATTATAAATGCTTTAGTATATATATCATTAGCTAGAGGTCATCAGCTAATGAGGGGTAAAATTTATATACAGGGAAATGGATAAGTCTTAAGTGTACCATTTGTGAAGTTGTTTAGTTTTTTAAGGAACCCTAAGAAATGAAATATTCTCAGAATATTTGGGTTTTTTCCCTCTTTTGTTCTTTTTTTAAGTGAGAGTTTAGTGAAGCAGTAAAACAGAAAGTGGCTACTCCACAGACAGAGCAGTCAAATATTTGTTTTCTTGAGTAGTTTAATAAGGATGTTCTGAGAATTTTTATTGTTGTGGGGTTTGGGAATATAGAAGTGCATTGAGGTTAAAACACTAAAATGAGTTCCAGTAAGACCTACACTGCAGCTTTGCAATGATTCCTTTTGGAATCATAGCTGAAGTTTTTTCTTCCTCTATTTACTTAACTGGAACTAGTGCAGAAATGGTAAAAATAAGTCAAAGAATTGGAGACACCTTATGGTATTATAGGACACAAATATAAGCACTGCATAATAATCCTAGAGTCACACACACATTTTTAGTTGGTTTGTAGAGAGCATCATATGTTTGTATTGTGCATTATATATTTTTCCTTATATGTTGGAATCCCAAACAGTAAGTACAGAACTTTAATCTTAGAGTCAGAGTAGAGGAACATACAGATCCCTTCTCTGGTGTTCTCTGTGTTTTTTCCTTGGTAGAGAGTCAAAATTAAGTAAGCAACATTGTTTTAAAAGACAAAATGCTTTGGCAGAAATGCAAGGTCTTTGTATTTACCAAATTAATAGTGATTAATAGTAGCAATTTCAGATGGGTGCAACCTAACTTAATTCAGAGGAAAAATATGTTTATTTTTTAAGACAATTTTTTTTATTGTTGCCTGAATTTACCTACTTGTTGTCTCCCCCTTTTTTTCCTTGAAGAGTGGATCTGGATCATAAAAATACCTTAAGTATATGGCCATTCAAATGTCCCATTAACAATAGGCTTGTGTTCAGAAATTCAAGGGCTTTTAGCAAAGTTTCTTAGGAAGATTTAGTCATGCTGAAAGATTATAGAAACAATGCTTTGTATAGCGTAGTCTCTGACACTACTTAGTGTTTGGGATTTTAGAAGTTTTTCCTGGGATAGAGGTGTTAGTTTTATCCCAGCTCTAATTTAATCTGAGAAAACCTCTTGTTTTAGCCAGTTTTTTACAAGAGAAGTATTTATTTAAGGGTAAGTGGATATTTGGTGAACCCACTTAACTACTTTCAATAGTTTATATACTCATGTTTATATATATATATATGTGTGTGTATATATCTATATATATGTTGTTATTGTTGTTTTGAGTACTTTGATTCTAATAATGACTATATTTTAACTAAGTTTTGGGGGCAAACTTCCAAAGAGCAGTATAAGAAAATCATGGCTAACATCATGTGAGTTGTTTCCCCTACACACATATGCTATTTATTTTGAAACTTTTGATTCATGTCAGTCTTACCAGTGATCAAAGATAAAGGGGGATATTGAAGATCTGGAATGGAAACAATTTACAGTTTGTTTTAGATTCCTGGGCAAATTATGTTTTGTCCAGTTACAGTTTTAGTGCTAACTCTCCCCCCCATCCCCCTTACCTTAAAGCCTAAACACATTAGGCTTTATTAAAAAGCAAAAAGAATTAATGAGGGTTGGGTGTCAATTTAGAATAATATGCCTCATAGATTCTAAAATTTTACTTCCCGCCCAGCCAGGCGTGGCTCAGTTGTTGAGTGTCTACCTGGGATCCAGGCGATCGGAGTTCTATTCCTGGTCAGGGCACATGCCTGGGTTGTGGGCTCGATCAAGGACTCTCATCATTGATGTTTCTGTCTCTCTCTCTCCCTCTCCTTTCCTCTCTCTGAAATCAATAAAGATATATTTAAAAAATAAATAAATGAAAATGAAATTTTACTTCCCAGTCCTTCTTTAATAATGAAAATAAATTGAACATGCAATAATACCTTGCTTTTTGAGTTCCTAAAAAGTTTATTAGAAATCATTTTATATTTGAAAGTACCAGAAGCCGTTATAGTTTTGAGAACTTCTAATTATTTGGTAAGACAGTTTCTCCAGTTTATAGTTTGTTAATTCCAACTTTTGTATCTTGGGGCTTTGTTTAGTAGAGGCACAACTTAATTATAAACTTGAGGATACAGGAACAAAATCTTTTCCTAGGATCTGTCAATTAAATAGTTCTCTAGTTAAAAGTTTAGATTTTGGCGAAGCATGCTAGTTACTTTTAATTTCTTGATTGATATAACCCACCTTTAGTATAAGGTTTGATTTTTTCAATCATGTTTTCACTTTATCAGAAATTTAAACCAAAACTCTAAAAGTAAATATTATGACTATAGGTATTTTCTAACATGGGGAAAAATATCGATCTGTCTCCCTTCAGTTAAATAATTTTTAGTTTTATATGATTGAAGTATATTGTCATACAGGATTTAGTTCTAATCTATTTCTTAAACTTTTTTAGAATAGTTTTAGATTTACAGAAAAATTGTGAAGATAGTGCAAAGAGTTCTTATATCCCCTGGTACCCAGCTTCTCCACTATTAACATCTTACATTAGTATGGTACATTTGTTATAATTAAACCAATTAATGAACCAATGTTGATTTATGATTATTTGATACCTAATTATTTTTAAGTTTGCTAACTTACTCAAAGTGGTTTTTTAAGTTACAGTTCTCCATAATTTAACTGATTTATTTTCCTTTGTTGCTATAGCCTATTCATTAAATTGCCGTTTTCTTTTTCCATTAGGAAATCCATGAAGTCTAGAAGTAGAAGTCCCGCATATTCAAGACACTCGTCCTCTCACAGTAAGAAGAAGAGATCCGGGTCACGCAGTCGACATTCCAGTATCTCACCTGTCAGGCTTCCATTGAACTCCAGCTTGGGAGCTGAACTCAGTAGGAAAAAGAAGGAAAGAGCAGCTGCTGCTGCTGCAAAAATGGATGGAAAGGAATCCAAGGGTTCACCTATTATTTTGGCTAGAAAAGAGAACAGTTCAGTAGAGGCTAAGGATTCAGGTTTGGAGTCTAAAAAGTTACCCAGAGGTTTAAAATTGGAAAAATCTGCCCCAGATACTGAACTGATGAATGTAACACATCTAAACACAGAGGCCAAAAATTCTTTAGATACAGGGAAAATAAAGGTGGATGAGAACTCTGAGAAGCATCCTGTTAAAGATTTGAAAGTACAGGGATCAAGAGACTCTAAACCCATGGCGTTGAAGGAGGAGATTGTTACTCCAAAAGAGACAGAGACATCAGAAAAGGAGACCCTTCCACCTCTCCCCACAGTTACTTCTCCTCCACCTCCTTTACCAACTACTACCCCTCCACCTCAGACACCCCCTTTGCCACCTTTGCCTCCACTACCAGCTATGCCACAGCAACCACCTCTGCCTCCTCCCCAACCAGCATTTAGTCAGGTTCCTGCTTCTAGCACTCCAACTTTGCCCCCTTCTACTCACTCAAGGACATCTACTCTGTCCTCTCAGGCAAATTCTCAGCCCCCTGTACAGGTTTCTATGAAGACTCAAGTGTCTGTAACAGCTGCTATTCCACACCTAAAAACGTCAACGTTGCCTCCTCTGCCCCTCCCACCCTTATTACTTGGAGAAGATGACATGGATAGGTAAGTCCTATAGTTAACTGAGAAAACTTACTCTCTCAATCTAAGTATAATACATGTTTCTCAAACTTTGTTAAAACTGGTCTAATTCATTGCTATTTAGAATGCTTTTATGAATAGGAAATGCCTTTAATGTTCCGTTTTCAGTGGGAAAGTCCTTATTTATGACATTACTTAGGAAGAATTACAATTTGAGGCCCACTAACCCTTTTTCTCATAAGTTTATTTACTGATAAGGCTAATTTGGATTCAGATTCTTAAAAATCAATAGCACTTGTCAGATTTTTAGTTGAAAAATTTAATAGCTATAGAAAAATTAAAAGAATGATACAGTTAACACCCTTATACTTTTCACCTAGATCTACCAATGGTTAACTTTTGGCCATATTTCTTTAACTGTAGGTATTTGACACTTCTGAGTTCTTTAGTATGTCTCTAATAATAATATCAGTAACATAATATAAATAATAATAATATTAGATATCACCAGTGGTCCCCAAAATGTCTTTTATATATCTATTTTGTTTTTTGTTTTTTCTCCTGGTCGAGGAGAAAAATAAGCCAGATTTATTTCAAAAAGTTCTGCTTAAAAAAAATCAAATTATTCTGTAAGAAGCAGAAGAACAATATGTAGAATCGTTACTATTTAGAATATAAATTCACAATGGGGTGATGGGAAAAACTAATTTTAATGAGTCCTCTGAGTATTGAGAACTGATTAAGTGATTATGAAGCATGAATCTGATTTTATGGAAGACATTAGGAAATAAATTTAATTTCTTGGCAGGACTAGCTAGGCAAGTACCACCAAACATGATTTAGCAGTAACATATGCCATGACAGCATTTGTGTTACTGTTTTTTCTACTGAGGCCCTCTGATTTTCTAGGATATGAGTTTAGTTTACTGCATGAAATTTCTGTTGTAAGCACAAAAATAAGTACCACTTATCTTGCATCCTAGACCAGTTCTCAACCCTCCATTACTTTCCAAGTGACATAGGGGATTCAAACAGTGATACATTTCAGCCCTTTAGGTATATATTTTTCCTAACTACCCTCTGTGCCTTTTGGGAAGGTGTAAGTGCAGTAAATCGGCAGGGGTGGGACATGACAATGAGTATTTAAAAAAATGGCTCCAGTACTGTTCATGGTAGTATATCTGATTTTTTTTTAAAATTCCACATGCTTTTTCTAATATTAATAGGTATTTATGAATTCTGCCACATCCTGAGAACTACAAAGGAAAATAACAACTGAAATTTATGTAGAAAAATTTGTTTGAGGTACACAATACATTTATAGATACAAACTATATGTTTTTATAGTTTTTGTTGGAAAAGGAACATAGTCAGTTTAACGTCATCCAAAAGGACCCTAGGCCATTATCTACCCACATATCTACCCACAAGAACCTCTTTTAAATATTAGTTTATGTAGTGGCTAGAACAGTATTAGTGTGGCACTAAGAATCTTTATTTTGAAATGTTTATTTAGCTTACCAAATAACTATTGAATCTACCTACTATGGGTCAAGTAGAGTACAGATTTTCAGAGGTGGAATGATGTTGACAGATGGCACATAGGGATTTCTATATTTCAGATTGGGGATGAAAGGTAAAGTAAGACCCATTCAGTGCTTATTTAAGTATGTGTGGCTCTCTTTAAGAATGTGTATAAGAGAAAATAAAGTGAGCAAATTGTTTTTGTTATAGATCAATTTTGATTCTGAAAGTATAACTATATTTTATTTCATAGTCCAGTGTAATTATTTTTAAAGGTATGATTATTAGTTGTTTTTCATATATAATACAAGTAAAGTATGAAAGGTAGAAAAATGGAAATGAAGATTTCTTTCACTATCAATTTTCTTTTTTCACTGTCAATTTTAAATTCAAGATGATTTTTTTGTCATATGTATGTATATACATATATATATATATGTGTGTGTATATATATACATATGCCACTCTATCCATGTACCAGCTATATCTATTTTTCATGTGAAAAAAAAATTTTTTAATCCTCACCTGAGGATATTTTTCCCATTGCTTTTCAGAGAGAGTGGAAGGGAGAGAGAGAGAAACATTGATGCGAGAGACATGTCGATTGGTTGCCTCCCGAATGTGTCCTGACCAGGGCTGGGGATTGAGCCTGCAACTGAAGTATGAGGTACTTGCCCTCGACCGGAATTGAACCTGAGACCCTTCAGTCTGCAGGTCAACACTCTAACCACTGAGCCAAACTGGCTAGGGCAGTACTTTTTATGTAAGAACACTTTTCAGGAAGAAATCTAAAAGTTTCATATGGGTCTCATATTCTTCTGTATTTTCTCATGTGAAATGGCAGCAGCTTAAATGTTGAGAATAGGATATACATCTTTTTATTGCCAGCGGTGCTTTAAACATAGAACACAGAATGTAATCAGTAGATAGTGGTTATTTGAATGCATAAGTAAAACTGCTGAAGGAGCCAGAGTCAGGGTTTGTGTAAAATGACACTGGGCATGTAGTTAAGTCATTTGGCACATGGATGACATAAAACTTCCATTTGTCTTCCTTTTTTTATTTAAATACATCTTTATTGATTTTAGAGAGAGGGAGGGAGAGAGAGAGAGAGAGAGAAACATCAATGATGAGAGAGTCATTGATTGGCTGCCTCCTGCAGGCCCCATACTGGGGATTGAGTCTGCAGCCCTGGGCATGTGCCCTGACTTGGAATTGAACTGTGATCTCCTAGATCCTAGGTCAAATCTCAACCGCTGAGCCACGCCTGGTCGGGCAGTATTTGTCATCTTTGAGTTAAAATCCTTTTGGGAAAAGAATAAAACTTTTCTTTCAAACATATAGATTGGGCAGGAGTATATTAACCCAGGTATCAAATGCAGGAGTGAATTTAACTAATGGTATTGTGTAAGCCTTTCTGATTCATGGTTTACATGTCTTGGTTTCAAGAAACAAAGGCTGACCAGTCCAAGTGGCTCAGTTGGTTGAGCATTGTCCTGTGCACAGAAAGGTTGCCAGTTCGATACCAGGTCAGAGCACATTCCTGGGTTGTGGATTTGATCCCTGGTCAGGGCTCATACAGAAGGCAACTGATTGATGTTTCTCTCTCACATTGATGTCTCTCTCTTTCCTCCTCCTTCCCTCCCCTGACCCTTCTCTCTCAAGCATGTCCTCTGGTGAGGATTTAAAAAAAAAAGAAAGAAAAAAAAGCCCAGCCAGTGTGGCTTAGGTGGTTGAGCCTTAACCCAGGAATCAAGAGGTCATAGTTCCATTCCCCAGTCAGGTCACATGCTCAATCCCCAGTGGGGGGCTGTGTACGAGGCATCTGACCAGTGATACTTCTCTCTCATTGATGTTTCTATCTCTTTCCTTTCCTTTCCTTCCTCTCTCTCTCAAAATAAAAATGGCCCTAGCTGGTTTGGCTCAGTGGTTAGAACATCGGTCCTCGGACTGAAGGGTTCCAGGTTTGATTCTGTCCAAGGGCACATACTTTGGTTGCAGGCTCGACCCCAGGTTGGGGCACATAGGGAAGGCAACGAATCAATGTCTCTCTCTCATCGATGTTTCTCTCTCTTTCTCTCCCTCCCTCTCCCCTTTCCTCCCTCCACTCTGAAAAGCAATAAAAAAATATCCTCAGGTGAGGATTAAAAAAAAAACATTTTTAAAAAAAGCAAAGGCTGCCCGGCCAAGCATGGCTCAGCGGTTGAGCATCGACCTAGGATCCAGGCGATCGGGGTTTGATTCCCGGTCAAGGCACATGCCCAGGTTGTGGGCTCGATCTATCTGTCTCTCTCCCCCTCCTTTCCTCTCTCTGAAATCAATAAAGATATATTTAAAAAAAAAAAAAAAAAAGCAAAGGCTGCCAAACACACACTTCAATATAGTATGTTCTTCATGAACATAGCCATTCATGAGGATCTCTTGCTTTTAAAGAGATCATCTGACCTGGCCAGGCGTGGCTCAGCGGTTGAACATTGACCTGGGATCCAGGAGATTGGGGTTCAATTCCCAGTCAGGGCACATACTACCGGGGTTGCGGGCTAGGCAGCCGATCAATGACTCTTATTATTGATGTTTCTATCTCTCTCTCTCTCTCCCTCCTTTCCTCTCTTTGAAATCAGTAAAGATATATTTAAAAAATTAGTAAATAAATAAATAGATCACCTGTGTACTCTTTAAACTTTTAGTTAACCACCAGGGTTTTTTAATTCTTTTTCTTTTTTTTGATAGCCTGGTTCATTTGGAGTTTATTAGACTTCTATAGAGTCTACACTGTTCTTAAAGGCTGTATATTTAAAGTATTGAGCTCTTACAGAAAAGAAAGGATCTGTGTGAGCATTCACATTTGACTTAGGATTTTGTTAATAGAATGCTTGGTTCTAATTTTTAATGTATTTAACTCGAATTTTTTTTTTTTTGAGAGAGAGAGACATCGATTTGTTGTTCCACCCATTGATGCATTCATGGGTCGATTCCTGTGTGTGCCCTGATGGGATCAAACCTGTAACCTTGGTGTATCAGGACAATGCTCTCTAACCAGTTGAGCTACCCAGCCAGGGCTCAACTCAAATTTTTAATTGAAATTTATAAAAATAAATCACTTTTTAAACAACTTACTTTAAGAGGAAGAAGATAGATTATAAAGTTTATGCTATGGAATTTTTTAAATTATGAAGAAATTCATTTAAAAAAAATAGTTCATATGTAAATTCATACTTTCTTAACAATAGTGACTTATTAGAGGTGTTTACATTGTACAGATTAAATCTCATTATTATAAATTTCTTTTAAAAAAAAAAATATCTTTATTGATTTCAGAGAGAGGAAGAGAGAGAGAGGTAGAAACGTCAATGATGAGAGAGTCATTGATTGGCTGCAGCCTAAACCTGGGCATGTGCCCTGACCAGGAACCGAACCCCAATCTTCTGGATCCTAGGTCGACACTCAACCACTGAACCATGCCTGGCTGGGCCCGTTATTACGAATTTCAAGAGGCTATTAAACTTTGGGCAGTCCTGGAGCTTGGCAACTTTTAAAAAAATTATACATGACTGTTATGCAATATACTCACCATATGTGAGTTGTCTACAGGTATAAATGGGGAACCAGGAAGTACTGATATTAAGATAGTTCAGTACTAATTGGTACTGAATCTTTAAGTAATGACTTAGGTGTTCAGTATCTGCTTCCCTACGTTAGAACATCTCAATATCCGTATGTCCTGAGCACTGTATAGAACCATATTTTACTGAGTGCCCTACACTAAAGGCTAACGACCGTAATGTTAAGCATTGCAATTTTATGGGCCATCATTCCAAGGTTTTTGGAACATTAGAATTTGTTGAAATAGCATTTGACCTCTATTCAATTTGTATGCCCTGAATTAATAGGGAGTACACATTCTCTTTCTTGAAAAAAACATCCTAATGTGATTTTTTTTCCAGAAGCAATGTACATTTTCACAGTAGCAAATTATATTTGAACCCGTAAAGTAAGCCTTAGAGAAAACAAGACCTAAATATAAAACGTAGATTAAACTTACATGAAATGATGATGAGAGAATTCAGATACAATACTTTGATTCTAGTGAAGCAGGACCAAGAAGTAATATATTTCTGAATCATGAGGAATTGAAAATATGTTGCTAACCACTATGCTGTACACCTGAAACTAATACAAAATAATATTGAATGTAAACTGTAATTGAAAAATAAAAATTTAAAAATAGTTTCTCAGGAATAAAAAAGAATTTCTGACATTAGTTGAGGAGTGAGGAATTTTCTTTACCTGAATGTCTTAAAAATTGGGGAAATTTAAAAAATCTATATATTATATCCTGACTCAAGAGAGTTTCCTGGTAATAGGCTTTGTTCCCAGAGTAGAAAAATTGTAGTGCAAATTGTAATGTCATAAGTTCATCTCATTCAGTAATTTAACAAAGTTTCAGGTGATCATTTTGCACTCCATTTCTAATTGATATGAGTACAAACTAATCTAGATTTTATTCTGTCTGATTTACAAGAGATTAAAATGAAAATTGATAGGAAGTAGCTTTTGAGATGGTTTCACACACAAGGGGCAGCAGTATGCTTCAGAAAGTTACAATACAAGGGAGAGAACTGTTCTTTATGGTTCTGTGGAAGTATTCATGAAAGAATATCTTTCATCTTCTGAGATCTATTTTTAAGACTTCCATCCTCTATAGTTATCAACTGCATGTACCTGGCCTCCAGAAATTAGTATGTTAAACTGAACCAGCTTAATGGGAGTAACTATCCATAGGGCTTGTTTTCCAAAGAAAAGTATTGCTTAGAGTAGCAAAATTATAAGCCTGTCTAGGCACGGTGGAAAGCTGTTCAAAAGTAACTCAGAGCAATTTTTGTGAATGGAAATGTAGTGCTCAAGTCACAATCTGCTTTAAAAAGAAAAAGAGTATCTTTTTTATAATCACTTGTCAAAAAAGTGGAGGAAGCTTCTAATGTGGTTAGGACTCTCAGATCCTTTTCAACCTACTAATAATACTGTGATGGAATAGAAAAGGCTTACTGTCTAACATGGTTTTATTTGTAGGCATGAATTAGTATGCTGCACTGTCTTTTCTGAGGACATGCATGGCACAAAATCCTTCCTTTACTCATAAATTAAACTGATATAGTTTAAAATTTGGATCTCAAAACTGAGATTTCTAATCTATTCCAGAAAAGCCATCCTTTTTCCCCACTGACTATAATTTGTTGATTATCATGAGAGACCTGCTTCACCTGCTTTAACAATTCTGTAATAGTTGCTTGAACGTTTTCTCCTTAGATTTTTAGTTTGAGGGTTATTTATCCATTTTGGCAGATCAAGATATGGTTGCCTTTTGCTTCCAAACCAATAGAATAAGTCAGGATATTTTTCACTAGTCTTGATTTCCAGCTTAGCTTTTTTTCTTTTTCCAAGTTCTAAAATACTACTTCCTTTGTCCAAGTTCTTCCCACATCTTTAGCAATATAGCAGTGCTACATTGTTCAGCTTTCATTCCCATTTAAATTTTTGCTGGTTAAAATATAGAATAGGTTTGATAACTCCATGAGTTGTAGTGATACTTTGCAAATTTAAGATGAATACTTTCTGCATTTTATTTCATCTCAGTAAAAATCCAAATAGAATCTTGGGAAGGACATTAAAAGAAGGGGTTTGTTAAAGAACCTACAAGTAATAGTCCAAAATTTTTATTTTTTATTTTAAAATACATTTTTATTGATTTTTAGAGAGAGAAAGAGAAAGAGAATCATTGACATGAGAGAGAAACATTGATCAGTTGCCTTCCATATGCACCCTGACGGGGTATTGAACCCACAACCTGGACATGTGTCCTGACTAGGAATTGAACCGGCAACCTTTTTATTGCACAGGAGGATGCTCAACCAACTGAGCCACACTGGCCAGGGCTATTGTTTCTTTACTATACTATAGATTTCTTTTTGCAAAATCCAAGTATCTTTAACTTTACTAAACCTCTTTGTCTTACCTTGTGTTATGGGCTATTTTCCTTTAAGAGTAAAATCTTTGTAGTCTTTTAATAGTCAGACATTAAAATCTTTGAAAGTTTTATTTGCATATTCTTTAAGTAATTGTGATCTTTTCTTCTCTCCATCTTTATTGTTTAGTCCAAAAGAAACTCTGCCTTCAAAACCTTTAAAGAAAGAGAAGGAACAAAGGCCACGTCACTTACTCACGGACCTCCCTCTCCCTCCAGAGCTTCCTGGTGGGGATCCATCTCCCCCAGACTCTCCAGAACCAAAGGCAATCACACCACCTCAGCAACCATATAAAAAAAGACCAAAGTGAGTTTTTGGAGGGCCCTATCCTTAATTAGAGCTTTTATTACCGTGAAGAACCATGGGGCTTAAATTTCACACTTTGTTCTACGACCCACACCAGTAGGATCATAGAAGATTGGGCCTAATGTGTATCTATTATTTTATTTTAATGGATAAAAACCTACATAGGAGACCCATTCATCTGCATTCACAGATACCTAGCCGTGTTATTTTTTTAGAAAAGCAATAATTTCCCCAATTTGAATATACCACAAACTTTGATCCCATTGTATCTTTTGAGTTCATAATTAGAGTGTCGAAGACCAAAAAAAAGCCCTTTTTCTCAGAGTGTGTCAACCATGTACCCATTAATTAATAGATGTGGGATTTTTTTTTTCTCCTTTAATTGCATAAATTACCATGCCATAAAATGTGGTGGAATCTGGGTTTGATCTTCTGATTGTTAGCATTCCTCTTTTTTTTTTTTTTTTTAATATGTTTTCATTGATTTCAGTGAGGGAAAGGGAAGAGAGAGATAGAAACATCAGTGATGAGTCATTGATTGGCTGCCTCCTGTACGCCCCCTACTGGGGATTGAGTTTGCAACCCCGGGCATGTACCCTGACTGGGAATCGAACCCTGACTTTGTGGTTCATAGGTTGACAACCACTGAGCCACGCTGGCTGGGCTAGCCTTCCTCTCTTAAATTTTTTTTTTAATCCTCTCCGGAGGATATTTTTTCCATTGCTTTTCAGATAGAGTGGAAGACGGAGAGAGACATTAATGTGAGATAGACACATTGATTGGTTGCCTCCAGTACATGACCCAGCCAAGGCGGGGATCCAGCTTACAACCCAGGTACATGCCCTTGGCTGGAACTGAACCTGGGACCTTTCAGTCCTTGGACTGATGTTCTAACCACTGAGCCAAACCAGCTAGGACAGCATTCCTCTCTTAATAAAAAGTAACTTTTATTGAGCATGTATGTATTATTGTCAAAATTTTATTTATATACATATATATAATATATATGTATACATATATATAATACATATATATATGTATACATAATATATATATCTTTATTGATTTCTGAGAGAGGAAGGGAGAGAGAGAGTTGAAACAGTAATGATAAGAGAGTTGTCATTGATCCACTGCCTCCTGCACGCCCCTGACTGGGGATCGAGTTTGCAACCTGGGCATTTGCTCTGAGTGGGAATCAAACCACGATTTGGATCCTAGGCCAATGCTCAATCGTTGTGCCACGCCTGGCCGGGCCAAAGTTTTATATTTTTATTGTAAGCCTATAATGTAGGGATTCTTTTCCTATTCTATAGTTGAGGACGTGAATACTCGAGAAGTCAGAAACTAAGCAAATCTATTATGTCTTCCTGAAGTAAAAAAAAATCTATGTTTTAGCTATTGTGAGAGACTGTTTAAACTATTTCATAATACTCAGTTCCTGCCTTTTTAATAAAGAAATTCATAAAAGATTCAGGAGTTAGTAAAATCATAAAAGAATTGTTTTCTTTGACAATGCTGAATTTTTAAAATAACTTTTTATTTTTTATTTTTGGTTTGCCATTGTTAGAATTTGTTGTCCTCGTTATGGAGAAAGAAGACAAACAGAAAGTGATTGGGGGAAACGCTGTGTGGACAAGTTTGACATTATTGGGATTATTGGAGAGGGAACCTATGGCCAAGTTTATAAAGCCAAGGATAAAGACACAGGTAAATATTGCCACAAAATTCTAGATGTCAGATTAAAAAGTTAGCAATACTGATGTCTTAACTGGATTTAGCAAAAGTAAATTTTGAGTCCCAATTTGGTCTCTAAAAGGTACTAAATAGACTGAAATTTTCCAAAAGAATAGTATAACTATTACAGTTTAAAACCCTCCTCTCTTTTGTTGTTTATTGTAAATGTTTTATAATAAGCTTGCTTGGAATTTAAGAGAGGATAAAGATAAAATGAGTAAGTTGCTCTTTGTTTGGTAAGGGGATTAGTCCTTGAAGTTAAAATGATGTCGTTGAATTATTGGTCCATTTTAATAACCAAAATTTTTAGGCCTAACTGAATATGGAATTTAAAATTTTAACTCTTAAAGAAATCAAAAATAAGGAACTTGGGGATTTGTTTTTTAAGATATAAAAGTATCTGTCATAAAGCATTAAAATAGGCATTAAGTCTTTCAGAGCAAGGGCATGTATTGGTTGGTTCATGATGGTAGCCAAAAAAATGCTACTTGATGCTGTAACAGTTTGAATTGATTGTGACAGGAGAGCTAGTGGCCCTGAAGAAGGTGAGACTAGACAATGAGAAAGAAGGCTTCCCAATCACAGCCATTCGTGAGATCAAAATCCTTCGTCAGCTAATCCATCGAAGTGTTGTTAACATGAAGGAAATTGTCACAGATAAACAAGATGCACTGGATTTCAAGAAGGACAAAGGTACAAGCAAAGAACTATGTACTGGGTAGATTAGTACATCTTATTTTCCTTTCTTAGCTTGTTTGCCTGTTTGCATTGTTTAACAGTTTTTACTAAACTCCAGTTTCTTTCTTGAACCTATACCAAAATTAAGATGTTAGTTAGATTGCTTTTTGCTGTATAGTACTTATTTATAAAATGTCCATTCTTCATTAGTGTACTCGTATACTTTTAGAAATTATTGTTAATTATTAAAATTAGAGTTTGTTGTACCACCTAAAGTCATTTTTTTTTTTTACAAATTATAATAACAATAATGGAGATTAAACCCAGATTTATCAGTTACTTTTCACTTTTTAAATTTATTTTTAATGATAGTTTACAAACTATTATATTACTTTCAGGTGTACAACAAAGCAATTAGACATTCATATGCCTTATGAAGTGGTCACCGCAAGTTTAGTAACCAGCTGTCACCATACATAGCTATTACAATATTACTAGCTATATTCCCTATGCTGTACGTTATATCCTCGTAACTAATTTTACAGTCGTCAGTTTGTACTTCTTAATCCCCTTCACCTTTTTTGCCTATCTGCTCACCCCTCTCCTCTCTGACAACCATCATTTTGTTCTCTGTATCTATGAATTTGTTTCTTACTCTCATTTTTATATCATCCCTTCTGGTTACATCCATATTTTTATGTGCATCCCTATTTTTACGTAGTTCTGCACTGATACAGTTTAGAATTCAAAGCCAGTATTTCTAAATCTTTGCGTTTGTTTTCCTGGATTTGTAACTTTTGTCTCTGTTTGAGGGATAAAATTGTTTATTTCCATACTTACGTTTGAAGTAGCCTGTATATGACATCTAATCTAGATTTTTTTTTTTTTAATATCCTCACTGAGGATATTTTTTCCATTGCTTTTCAGAGAGTGGAGGGGAGAAAGGGAGAGAGAGAGAAACATCAATTGGTTGCGTCCTGCACACACCCTGACCAGGCCCTGGGATTGAGCCTGCAACCGAGGTACATGCCCTTGGCTGGAATTGAACCAGGGACCCTTCAGTCCTCGGGCCGATGCTCTGCCCACTGAGCCAAACTGGCTAGGGCCTAATCTACTTGTACTGAAATAAATCTGAAGGTTTAGAGATGAGCAGCTGTGAAGAGATGACATCTGTGAATATAATCTGGAATGTTAGGAGAGAATATGATTGGGAGAAAAAGGGGAAGGGGATTAAGAATATACAAACTTCCAATTATAAAATAAGTCAGGGGGATGTAATGTACAGCATAGGGAATATAGTTAGTGGTATTGTATTAACTATGTGTTGTAGTGACCAATGATTACTAGATATACTGTGGTGGTTACTTCATAAAGTATATAAAAGTTGAATCTCACTATGTTGTGTACCTGAAGCTAATACAATATTGTATGTCAACTATAATTAAATATAAATTTTACAGCCCACCCGGCGTGGCTCAGCGGTTGATCATCGACCTTGATTGAGATCGAGGTTTGATTCCTGGTCAGGGCACATGCCTAGGTTTCAGGCTTGATCCCCAGCAGGGGGCGTGAAGGAGGCAGCCAATCAATGACTCTGTCATCATTGATGTTTCTCTCTCTCCCCCTCTTCCTTCATCTCTCTGAAATCAATAAAAATTTAAAAATTTACAAAAGGAGGATACCATTGAAGTACATAAATTTAGAATGTAATGGATAAAGTTAAGCTGGACTTATGTACAGAGCATCAGAGATATTAGCTCTAGGGGAGTAGTACCTCTTGAATTTGTTAGAAGTAGTTTTAAGGCAGTTAAAAGGGAATTCTGCCTATGTAACAATATTTAGATAAATTTATGAAAGTTAGATCTGATACTAGGTTTATTTCCTGGCATGTGTTAACTTTTTCTGATTATAAATATAGTACAGTGTATAGCTAGTTTCTGTAGGGATGCACAAGAAAATCTTAATTGCTTCTGGAGAGATATTTTTCATCTATGCCGTTATGTACTATTCAAATAATTTACCATGTACTGTTTAAATTATTATTTTTAAATAATAAAATAATGGATGGATGAATGGATGGATGTAATGCATGCCCATTGTGGAAAAATAGAAAATATAGAAGAATAAGAAAAAGAAAATGGCAATCACTTCTCACAATCACTTCTTTCTCACTCCATACTAGTATACCACTATCCATAGAACAACTATAGTATAACATTACTGGGATCAAAGTATATTTAGTGTTTTATAACTTGTCTTAAGCAATTTCTCACATCATTAATGTACTTTAATGACTGTGCATAAAGATAGATGAATGCAAATTTACTTCACCAGTCCCTGTTGAGCAATTAGTTGCCAGTTTAAAAAAATATATACCAATACTGCATTGAGCATCTTTGTGCATAAATCTTTACATTTAGATTTATTTCTTTTTTTAAAAAAATATATCTTTATTGATTTCAGAGAGAGGAAAGGAGAGGGAGAGAGAGACAGAAACATCAATGATGAGAGAGTCATTGATCAAGCCCACAAGCCGGGCATGTGCCCTGACTGGGAATCGAACCCTGATCGACTGGATCCTAGGTTGACGCTCAACCGCTGAGCCACGCCCGGCCGGGCATAGATTTATTTCTTAATATAGTTTCTGAGAAGTAGAATTATTTGGTCAAAGGGATTTTCACATTTAATGTTAATTGCTTTTAAGAAAGAGAGTAATAATTTATGTCCCACCCGTGAGTGTCCATTCCACTTTATCTTTTCTAACACTGAGTATTATTTTTTCTTAAATTGTCATCTTGATAGGTATGATATTATTTTGAATTGCATTTCTTATAGTACATCTGAGTTTTTTTCCATGTTTATTAATTTTACTTACTTTCTCTTTTTTGAGTTGTCCTTTGTCTACTTATCTTTTGCAGTTTTTGTATTTTTCTTGTTAATTTGTATAAGGTTGCAGCCAAATCTCTAAGATACTCCTTTAATGCAGTGGTTCTTAACTTTTTGGGGTCGTGACTGCTTTAAACATGGATCCAGTTTTCAAAAAAATACCTTTAAAATGTTGCATACTAGTTCTGAGAGTTCAAAGAGTACTTGAAGCCTACCCCCTAGATTGAGAATCCTTGCCTTTATGTTACTAGGAGACAGGCTTTTAAACTGGATAGATCATTGTCTCTAACTAGGTCTAGTATTTTTGTTACGATATTTGTCTCTATCATGCACCCTTTTGAAAGTGGCATGATAGTGTGGATTTCAAATATTTTTACAGTTCTCTTAAAGTGCTGCTTCTTTTTTATCTACTTCTAAATTTAGGGAGTTTAGTGAGATGATTCACCTTTCTTTCAATTCTATGAATTTTATTAACAATTTCTACTAAATAGACTGTGTGCTGCCGCGCCCCCCCCCCCC